AAAGATAAAAAAAAAAAAAAAAAAAAAAAAAAAATCAATTATTTAAAGTTGTACAATTTTGAAAACTCATGTGTTTACTAATTCTCTTACAGTTTAACGCACAGATCCGTCGTTCAGGTCCTATTCCATTATTACTTTCTTGTGCAGTGATTGCATTGTCTCGTGTTTGTTAAGCTTAGATCCTTTTTAAAAAAATGTTTACTTTATAATTTGAATGAGATTCCCGCGTCTTTACACAGAATCAGGACATCAACGCAAACATACCTGTATGTTCTGTAGCTGTGTATTTCAATACATTCAATTATTCTTATATTTTACTGCATTCACAGAAGCTCCCATGCTTTTTTTATAGGTACTTGTGTTTTTATACGAGGTTCTCATGTTTTTATTCGACGGTCCCATGTTGATATTAGTATTGGAGGTCACATATTGTTTATTTTTCAGCTTAATTTTTGCACTCAGAGTCCTGCGTTGTTAGTTGGCATTGAATAAAAAAAGTAAGCAAAGAACTCGCTAAGCTTATCAATTTAAATGCGATCATTCAATGAGCTGGAATTTAATATAAAGTTCATGACAAGGCAGTGGCGTAGCGAGGGTGTTTGGCGCCCGGGGACAAGATTCGCGCCCGGGGACAAGATCCATTTTTAGCGCCCCTTTTTCTTTTTTTTTCAACTCTCAAACCCATCATTTTCATCAATAAAATAATATCAAAGCACATTTTGGCGCCCCTAACTAGCTGGCGCCCGGGGACATCTGTCCCCCCTGCCCCCACCACGCTACGCCTCTGTGACAAGGTCTCAATCATTGAACTATGGATAAGAGTAGACACATTCTGTTTCGTCAACGAAATGTCATTTAACCTGTTTCTAAATATAGATTTGAAAAGACGTTGCCTCAAAAGATTATATAGACATCGCGCAAATAAATAAATGTATAAAAAAGAATAATATTTTTTTTAGATGTATATAAGAATTATGCGAGAATTCATTGAGAAATGTGTCTAATAAAATTTCGGACCTTTGCCGTCATTAACAATTTTAAAAAATAAAATTTATAATTTTCAAACAACAAATATTAAAGTAATACATACATGCACACGCACACATACACACATACACACACATGCACGCACAAACGCACATATCCACAGAAAGATGTATGTACAGTTCGTTCTGTGTAAAAATGACTTTCGGCCGATACCAAAAGTAAATCGAAACTCATATTTTCAGCTTCGACCGAAACCAAAATGAAACCGAAAATTAACTTTTCAGTTTCGTCCGAAGCCTAAACTAGGCCGAAAGTGATAAAATGGCAACTTTCGGCGCCGAAACCGAAGCAGAAGCCAAAATTCGGTCGGTCTTTACTATATCCTTTCAATTGTTGTAATGTTGAATTATCAAGACAACGTAATGCATTCACTTTGTTTAAATGCTAAAGAAATGTCTAAACTGACTGTCAGAAACGACCCAGTTTTTAGAATTTGTTTTACAACTATGATAGCTTCACGTCTTTCTCAGAACTATTATAGCTTCACGTCTTTCTCAGAACTTTCTCAGAACTATTATAGCTTCACGTCTTTCTCAGAGCTATAATAACTTCACGTCTTTCTCGGAATTATTACAGGTTCACGTGTTTTTCAAAACTATCATATTTTTTAAAAACTATTTTTGTTTAAAATTCTGGTGAGGCAGTTTGTTACCCACTGGCTTCTAATATGAGAAATTAATCTTCTATTTTAATTTTAATTGGCTCGTTGTAAGCAGTGCCTAACAAAGGAAGATACCATAGAGTCAACAACGACACCCAAAACAGTTTCTAGTTACAATTAATAAGATTTAGTAAGTATTAATGTAATTACAAAAGTAATAGCAATAAGAATAGCAATTTTACCTCTCAAATACTCACGACTTGAGCAAACCTTGGACGTGTGATTTTTTGTTTACTTCCTGTTTGAGAATATATTATATTCTTATTACGTCTCAATGCTGAGTTCAATGAAGTTGATATAATACATGCCATGTACACGGTCATAAATCAATCAGGTGTAACAGGGCACGGTATTGAAATCACTCTCCTCAGGTATAATGGGGGAGGGGGCAGTAATGAAACCACTTTACTCGGGCTGGTGTTGCAGGTAGTGTCAACATAACGTCACTTACGATGAGGAAGTGAATTGAACCTAAAGGTATAGACTCAATGCAATATATGTGCAGTAAGTTCTGCGTGTTACGTACGGAACAACAATGCCAGATACTAAATCCTTCCTATCACTTCCCATTTTAAAATATAAAAAATAGAAACAAATGTTAGGTTGTAAGAGTAAAATTTGAAGTACGATAAATGTCTAAGGAAGTGTTGACTGATATTGTTTTTAATTTAAATTTCATCATTTGCAACAAAATAATAATAACGTTAATCTTCAAGCAATTTGTTAACAACATATTCAGCCTTTTTCCAAAACATTTAGCCCGAGTAAACCATTTGATATTGCGCACAGCCCAATGGATCTTGCGTGTAAACTTTTTGAAATAATGTGTATAAACATATGGAGAGGTGTAGGTGACGGAATGGAGCGTCATATTGTGGAGTTTTAGGGTATCCTTAACACGGTCTATCCACCGATGGCGTGGTCTTCATTTGGTCATAACAACATAGTGCTGTTTTTTTACGAGCTAATGGGAAGATTACAATATTATGTGATAGCAAGGGAGACAACTTTTGGACACGCGTTTGGTTACCAAATATGCATCTCTGTCCCTATTTAAATTTATAACATTTTTTATTAACTGAAATCTATGCATTGTACATATGCAGTTTTTTTTTAACGGTAATAGAACTAGTTAAAGAAGTCACCGACCAAAATCTTATTCATTCAATCCATATGGAATCTACTACCCTGTTATGCTGAAGATTTCTGACGAATGCTTCTTTTCCCGCCATTGGGAGCCATGGTGTACTCATCATTAAACAATCATCCTGCCCTTCCTGAGCAATGAGTGTCTACTAGTCTACAATATAGCTAATAGCAACAGTTACTAATACAATCAACATCAACAGGTTTGTAACTAGATAGTAGTTTATTTACCACTACTCGATGAACAAGACTTGATGTATAATTTCAGAATTTGATAATACAATCACTCCAACCAA